ATATCAATTGTACTATTTTTAAATACTACAATTATTTTTCAGATTTGTGATATCCTGTGTCTCATTATATATTTAGTTCATTTTCAGGGATTATTTTCATTGCATCAGATTTTAAAATCGCACATTATTGTTTGTTGTTAATATTGTTCCTTATAATATATATGTTTTTCCTTGTGTATTTTTTACAGGAATGGGAATTGCTCATTCCGCATCCGTTGGACATAAATGTGAAGGTTCAAAACAGCAATGATAATAGCAGAGATGGATCCACGATAATTGATATCAAGAAGACACTTACGATAGAGCAATTGGAAGTTTTTAGGCGTTCAGCATTTGGGAAGTTCTCGGATCTCCCTCATTGCATTGTACAGAACCAGCTCATTAACAGTATACTCCTACGTGAGGTTCACCAGAATAGAAGCGACGAAATCTGGTTTGATTTTGGAGGGAAGTTACTCCGGTTTGGGATCGAGGAGTTTGCTATTATAACAGGATTGAACTGCATTGGGTCGATAAAAAAATTGAATATTCCCAAGATATCTGGTGGTCTCCATGACAAGTATTTTGATGGCATCGAATTACGCCGGAACCACATCAGGTGGCAGTTTATCAAGAAATCATGGTCGTGTGATGAAGATGCAGTGAAATTGGCCAAATTACATCTACTCGCGAATTTCCTGATGGGCTCTCAAGAGACTCTTCGCATAGATCGATGTTATGTTGACCTGATTGATAGTGCGGAGTGCGATGATCTCGCCTGGGGAAGAGAAGTGTTTAATTTTACTCTTTTGTATCTGAAGAAATCAATTCACACGAGAGAGCAAATGCACATATTCAAGACCGATAGATCTAACCTGTATAGGTGTTATGGTCTTATATTGGCTCTCCAGACATGGTTCTATGAGGTGTGCGACACCGCTGAAGGTGCAGTATACACATACATTGGTGAAAATGATATTCCAAAGTTGAACAAGTGGGAAGTTCGGGATACTTATAACCGTATTTTTATGGAGAGGACCTTCTTAAATCTGAAACACTCCAAAGCAATAAATTATATTATCTTATTTTTTCTATTCCGGTATCGATAACTTTTTTAATCGTACTTTTGTAATCAAGTGGGGAAGTTCGGGGTACTTATAACCGTATTTTTTTTTTTTTGGCGGAGAAACATGCTCTTTCTGTGGACTCATTCTTCAGAAAAAAAAAAAATGAGTTCATTCGAAATGAAACCCCATCAAGTCCCACAACACAGCATACCAATCATGCCAATGACGTGGACGTTATAACCCGTCTCGACTCAATAACTGCTAAACTCGAGAACTTGAAACAAGCCTTCTTCGAATTCTCAAGACGTGTTTTTGCCGAGTTTGACTTGTTTAAAGAAAAATTCCTTGTAAGTCCTTGTTGATATTTATTCCTTTTATGTTTACTGAACTTGATATGTATGTATACTATATTTAGTGGTCACATAAACCACATTTATTTAAATTTATGTTTGTCATAATATTATGATTTTGTAAAACCTCAAGAGATGTCCATATTTATTTGTTATTAACCACAGATTATGTGGTATATATATTGTAAATTTGCATAGGGATATATATTTGTTTCTGTGGTATATATATGGTATATAGGTGGTATACATATGTACTTTAAGTTGCCACAGGGTATATATATGGTATATATAAGTTAATATTTTTTCGTTTATTATTTTCTTTTTCTTGGGGTAAAATTTGAATTTGCACAGGGTATATATGGTATAAACATATGGTATACATTTGTTCATGTGGTATATATATGGTATATATGTGGTATATATATGTACTTTAAGTTTTCACAGGTTATATATATGATATATATAAGATAAAATTTATGTTCTTAACCACTGATTTTGTGGTATATATATGGTAATTTTGCACATGGATACATATTTGTTTCTGTGGTTTATATATAGTATATATGCGGTATAATATGTAATGTAATTTTTCACAGAGTATATATATGGTATATATATGGTAAAAATTAGTTGTTTTTGTTTATACACTATGAACAGGTTTTCTTTTGTTTATACAATAATATTGTNTTTTTTAATTTATTTTTGTGGGGTTCTGTTATTGGTTAATGAAAGTATCTATTGTCATCTCTTGTGGATATTTATTGCTTTTATGTTTAGTGAACTTGGTCTGCATGCATAATATATTACTGGTCACCTAAACAAATTTTATTTTACTTTACTGGTCACATATAATTTAATTTATTTGTTCATAACCACAGATTATGTGGTATATATATGATAATTTTGCACAAGGATACATATTTGTTTCTGTGGTATATATATGGTATATATGCGGTATAACATGTAATGTAATTTTGCACAGAGTATATATATGGTAAAAGTTAGATGTTTCTGTTTATACAATATGAACATGTTTTCAAAAAATGAAACAATATATATACCAGAATATATAACAAAATATCACTGAACTATACTAAATATCAGAATATTACTGAAAACCTCCCTCAGAAAATGACAGAGTATATATACATGAATATATAACTAAATATCACTGAAATATACTGACTATCAGAATATCACTTAAAACTCACTGAAAAATGAAACAATATATATACCAGAATATATAACTAAATATCACTGAAATATACTATCACCTGCTCTACGGCGTGTTTTATGCTTTCATGACCTATCAGAATATCACTTAAAACTCACTGAAAAATGAAACAATATATATACCAGAATATATAACTAAATATCACTGAAATATACTATCACCTGCTCTACGGCGTGTTTTATGCTTTCATGACCATCTGAAACAATGCAAAGACCATCCCTCTCACCAACAACAACTTGCAATTTTGTGAAAAACCACACGTAGGAGTGGTTATTTTCTGAGTCAACAATGCTAAATGCAAGTGGTAAAATGTAAGAATTTGCATCTTGACAACATGCTGTTAACAAAAGTCCTCCGTACGCCGAAGTCAAAAATATCCCATCAACAATAACAATTGGCCGACAATGGGGCCATCCTTTAATATACCATTTATATATTCTGTGCAAAATTATATTACATGTTATAACGCATATATACAATATATATACCACAGGAACAAATGTATACCATATATATACCCTGTGCAAACTTATATATACCATATATATACCCTGTGCAAACATAAATTTTACCTCAAGAAAAAAAAAATAAATAAAACAATAAACGAAATAAATTTACCTTATATATACCATATATAAATATCCTGTTCAAAATATCACTGAAAAACTCCTGAAAAAACGACACAGTATATATACCAGAATATATAACTAAATATCACTGAAATATACTAAATAGCATAATACCATTGAAAACGCCTGAAAAAAAAAAAAGAATGACACAGTAAAAGTTTGCTAAATGATACACACCTTACATAGTATTGCTGGGAGCAAGACTTCTCCACCTTGAATTGATACTGATGCTTTATAGCATCCATGGTCAACAATTTCTGCAACTCTTTTTTATCCTTTAGCAAACGACCCGCAACAATTCGAGAGTCAAAATTTTTTTTGAATGTCAACCCCATACCACTATCAGGGTTTATGTTAAGCATATTCTCGGTATATGCTGCAACTTGTACCATCTCCTTAGCTACATTATTCGCGAAAGAAAAGAAATTTATCGAGCCATCTGTGATATCAGGTACCTGCCAAGACCCGGGTAACTCAATGGTGCAACATTTGTCTCGGTATTCATAGAATTCGTATTTAATTCATTTTGCGACGAATTTTCAGCAATACTATGAGCCTTAACCTCCAAGCATATCGGATACTTCGTGTAGTCAGCTTCTGTAGACCTCAAAGGAAAATAGAAGCTCATGCTTTTGTCGTCTTTATGGACATTGGTGGGCAATCTTCCTTCAATTTATATTTCAGTTCAATGACAGATGATTGGGACATCACCCCGAACTCAACACACAATATACCACATAATTCTTTGAAGTTGCAATCTTTTCGTACCAAAACACCTGAAAGACGGAAATTCACGTAATCATTCATGATCCATTCACCACCATGATGTATGAAAATCATCATGCTCGAATCCATCTACAAAGAAAAAAAAGTACATATATTCCATTAATTGTTCTTGCAAAATAAACGTTAAAATCACAAAATATACGTTAAAAAAATACATATATTCCATTGATTGTTCTTGCGAAAAAAGTTAAAATCACAAAATATACATTTAAAAAAATACATATATTCCATGAATTGTAAATATGCAGGGCAAACACCAAAACACACCTCCATTCTATCTGTGCATCGATTTTGGATGAAAATTCCGCTCGATCCACTCTCAGTATATGTGCAGCGATTTTGGATGAAAATTCCGCTAGATCCACTCTCAATATATGTGCAGCGATTTTGGATGAGAAATCCGATCGATCCACTCTCGGTATATGTGGGGCGATTTTGGGTGAAAAATTCGATCGATCCACTCTCAGTATATGTGCATCGATTTTGGATCGTGAACTCGTAAAAATCACGAAAAATCCGATGGAGCGTTGGCGGAGTCCGTTTTTTGGTATTATTCTGTTTCTTTTTTCGATTACCATCGCGTAAATCACGTCAATCAGATATGGAAGGGAGGATGTTACCCTGTAACTGACTTTTAGGCATTCACGTAAATATTTTTGGTCTATCAAGTATCTTCCAAATTATTTGTTTCTTAATGATAAATTTGAAATTATTTTGATTTCACGTAGGATGATTAAAAAATTTCCTGTTTATTATTGTGCATAAATTAAATTATTGACGGGAACTAAACTTGAGTTCGAAAGACTTGATTTTCATCGGAAATAATTGACCACTTAAAGCAAAATATTCGAGCCCAAATAAAAAAGCTCAATAAATTGAAGGGTCTAGAAACTCTGTGTCGAGGTTAAATTTCTCTTTTAAATTTTCTCAAAGGGAAAAGCTTCCGGGCTCCAGGCCCGTATATATTATTTTGGTGGCTGACCCAAGAATGTGCTCCAGCCCAAATCAAGCCCAGAAGCAAAATTTTCGTCTCTCCTCGTCAGCTTCAAGCCTTCAACCAATTACTATAATTCGGAAATTTGCCTGAGAAAATCAAGAAAGCTCCGATGGGTGAGATCCGTGGAAGTACCTCCTCCGTCGACGATGATCTGTTGCTCAAGAAATTCTTTGCCGAAGTTAGCGAGGTTGAGCGCGACAACGAAGTCAACAGGTTTTTTATTTTGACGCATGATGTGCATATAGGTTTATGGTGGAATAAACAACTCCTTTTAGTTTGTTCGATTATGGTTTCGGTCCTTGTATGAATTTCAGAAAACGGAACATCAAAATTTTGTAGTTGAACAATCATTTTTTTTTTTTTTTTATGATTTTATGTATTATGCATAGATATGTGTATACATAAATTTATATATTTTATTCTTCTGCGATGTGGAATTGAGTGAAACGGAAAATTTATTTGGTAGAATTTTTTCGATAGGTGAAATATTGTGGATACTCTTAATCGGGGTTTGCATTTGAGCAGATAAATGAGGGAGGTAAAATTTGATTTAAGATTTTAGCTTAGCCCGGTGGGCTGTGCAGTCTTTCGTGCTCCTTTCCTTATTTTTTGGAAAGTGTATGCTATTTTTTGAGCTCTTTGGTTGACACACAGTTTCGACTGAAAGCACACAGCTATCTGCAGAATTGAAGATTGTGTTTCTTCTAATTCTGTGTCCACCTCTTTTCTCTTTGTCAACTCCTCAGAGGATCAAGCTTTTTAGTTTTTTCATGTTGTATTTATCAAATATCTGACCTATATTGCTATTGGTTCTCAGTGTCCGAGCACATGGTCTAAAGAGCCTCTCTTAATTATGTATCCAGAGGTCATCGGCATATTATATCGATTGGTATCTTGAGTACCTGGCGTGTAGGAGTGTTTGAAACCATATTTCACAAGAAAGAACAATCAAGCTCTCTTATGTGTTATAATGACCTTTTTTTTTCCTCATAAAACCTTTCTTAATGTATGCTCCTTATGACAAGACATCTACCTGTTGCAATCCATATTACAGATTCTGTATTCAAATAATGGAGTGTTTTTATATACCAATCTTCAAATAGAAATCCGAAGAATCTGATTCTTAAATGGTTCCGGAGCATCCATTAGGTAGAGCAGGTTTTCCACTGTGACATGGGTTTGGGCTCAAGTTTTACCAATGGTCCAGTGGTAGATTACAGGGAATAATGAATTTGAGTGCAATATTCTTAGTTTATTTCTCTCTATATCTATAGCTGGAGTTGACATGTTTTTGTTTCTAAGTGAATGTGGGGTTAGCAGTTGTTGGCAGTGTGCCGTGTGTTTTCTTTTTGTACGGTTAAAAACCTGCTGTTAATTGGAAAGGTATTTTTATTTTGACATTTCCTATGTTGGCTCCTGTAGGATCCTTTCGTGCTTCAAGTTAAATGCTTTTGAGTACCTTAACCTACCATTTGATTCCTCTATAGATGATGTGAAAAGGCAATATCGTAAGGTAATCTTCACTGAAAATACCAGTGGATATTGTCAAATTGTCCTTATTGCGTTTGTTTTTTGTCACCGAGGAATTACAATTTTACTTTATTGCTGCTATATCCAACCACAGCTATCTTTGCTTGTTCACCCTGATAAATGTAAGCATCCACAAGCAAAGGAGGCATTTGGAGGTAACTAACCCTGTACTTTGTCCATTGAATTCTTTTGTCAACCTTATGGTCTCAGGCTTCATTTATTCCCCAAACTTATGTGCATATGACATACCGTCAGAAGTATAAGTGAGAAAGAAAGTGGTCAAGTTAAAGCAGTTACTGGGGGAAACATTAAGTTTTACTTTATGCATGGAGAGACTCGGTACTTTTTATCCAAGAATAGTAAAAATGCATCATCTCTAAGCACCTCATCAGAGCTATCACTATCCAAACCGAGCACTGTAGCCATTATTAGGATTTCGTTTACTATCATTGTTTTTGCCTATCTATTCTTCTAGCTATACACTGTTATGGGATAATGCTTATTTCCTTGAACTTTAGATGATCAGTAGAGTATAATTTTGGAATGTGCAATAATATTACATTACATCCGACTACACAAGTAGTCTTTGTGTGTAGTCTTTGTGTGCAGTTGTGTACTCATTTGATGGTTTAAGTCACTATTCATGGAGATGGAAATAAGTGTGCTAGGGATCCTTAATACTGTAAAGATTTTAACACATTAGATGGGTCTGCCAGTTTGGGAGGAGGTGGTGTTGTGTTGATTATCATTCCAGTTTTTTCCTAGCAAAGGGCCGTCCTGCCAGCTGAGTTCAAATATGCCAAATTATATGCTGAAGCATTCAAAACTGTAACTACTCGATCTTTGATTACCCAGAAAGAATTTTTTCTAGGATCATTAGGTTATCCAGGATTAAATGAATCTACTACTATTCACAGAAGATTAATTCTTTTGGACAATTGTAGACTTTGATAAGGCGCCTTGAAAATATCCATCATAATGCCAGAGCACCCTTTGGGAACCATGAAAAGAGTTGATAAATTACAGTGGTTGGTTTATAAGGTGGGTTGGGAACATTTCTGTCTTTTCAGTAGCTAGTATTGAATGTAGGATTACTATCCTACCCCGCCGTCTGGATTCCTTTATCAAAAATCTTTGAATATTCTCACTGGCCTTACCTAGCCTACAGTCTTTTCTCCAACTCACAAAAACACCAAGTAGGGGTGACGGTAATTCCTATCATTCATATTTCCTACTCGCATATGTGCGCTCAGTGTTATTGTGTGTTGAAATTTTGATTCAGTTTTTATATTATTGCTTTAGTTGCTTCTATAGAAGCTAGTGTGGTGTGGATCCTTCTTTATATCCAATTTAAATATCACATTTGTTTTATTTATGGACAGCATTAGCAAAAGCCCAACAATTATTACTCGATCCACAAGAGAGAGATTATATTTTGAACCAAGTTAATGCTGCCAAAGGTTAGTTCCCTCCTTTCCTTTTCCACTTTCTCTCAATGGTGTCCGTTATTTCAATCATTTATTTAGTATCAGGACCTACGAGTTCACATTGGTTAATAATATGTACATAAAAATTTGTGAAAAGCAATTGAAGCAAACCGTAAAATAGAATTAGTTATTAGAATATCGGAATATAAACTGTTGAGAGTCATACATTGACTTCAATTATAGTGGCTGCTTTCCCAGGTCTTGGCTTTGCATCTGTTTTATTTCATCTTTATTAGTTATTGATGGAGCAACCTGATGTCAGCTCTTGCCATTCTCTTAGCAATCCAAGCTGGTTGATTTGTTGCGCTTACCCGTCACTTTCAACATCTTTTACTTGATTTGATACTTTATTCCTTTTTTTGTCATTTCTATTCAGGTGTAGAAAAATTGAACGATAAACGAACTCTGACGTGTTATTAGGAATGTCCCAGATGGATTTTTTTATCTTCATCTTTGACCTTCCTCACTCTCATAATTTATATGTTTACCAGGACAACTGCTATAATTTGCATCAATACTGACAAATATTCTCGATGAGAACATTTTTATACTTCAAAATATATCAAAGTGTCTGTTTTGCTTTTTGATATTTTTGGTATGATTTTTTTATGTAAATGTGCTCATGCTTCTCAATGTGTAATGCAGAAGAACTTCGATCAAAGAGGAAGAAGCAGCTGAAGAAAGACAATGCAACTAAGATAAAGTCACTAGTGGACGAGGTAAAACTTATATCTCACAAGTTGCATCACTTATTGGTTGAATTTTTAACTTATAAATTAGTAGCCGAATAATGTTATCCTTCTTTTTTGGAGTCATGTGATTGAAATATACTCTATATAGACTAGAATTTCTAAATGACGAACATGTTCTGGTCTTTGCTTTTCTTTGAACAATGATAGGGAAAATACGAGCAGGAATTTGAAAGGTCAGATGAATTTCAGCAGCAGTTAAAATTGAAAGTCCGAGAAATCTTAACTGAACAAGAGTGGAGGAGAAGGAAGATGCAGATGAGGGTATGCTGCGTCACTATTTGGACAATGAAAGACAATTTTCTTATTCAGGATTCAGAGGTCATATATTTTTTCTTTATCTGTTGTAGATATCAGAGGAGGAAGGTAGATTAAAGAAAGACGAAGAGGAAACCAAAGAGATGTGGAAACGAAAGCGTGAGCACGAGGAGCAATGGGAAGGCACTCGTGAACAGAGGGTTAGTTTTCTCGTCTGTTTATCTTGTAGCATTATTATTTTAGCTGCTTGTTCTAGAGAATGTGATGTAATCGTTTCAGTTTTCTTGTTTGGATTGGACGTGGACTTTAACAAGGGAGAACAATAAAAGAACAAATTTGAAGATACTAGTGTAGGTTTTGATTACTTTACTAAGCTTTTCCTCCACAGGTTTCCAGCTGGAGGGACTTCATGAAAGGTGGAAAAAAGGTAACATCTTTATTTTTCTTTTCCTTATTCCTGGGTCACTAGGAAAAAATTGCTAAAGTTGTTTGCTTTTTGTGCTATTCTAGGTTAAGAAAGGAGAGTTCCGACCTCCAAAGCTTAAGACTGAGGATCCAAACAAATCTTATGTCCAAAGGCCAGTAAAACGAGGATGATCGTCATTGTCCTAGTTCTTTTGGCTAATATAACATGGCAGTTGCTCAAAAAACATTTGAATGGTTGGTTATAGAAATCACTCCATCATCTACAGTTGCTGTAATTTACAGTGTACCCTCGGCAACACAGCCAAGCACCTCGAACGCACGTATTAATTAATTTCAAGTTTTAGTAATTTACAGTGTCCTCTTGACAACACATCTAAGCACCTCGTGCTTTCATTGTCTGTTTACATTAATTAATATTAATTGTTAGATTCATATGATTTCACTGCCCAACTGCTGGTAGTAGAACAATTTAGAAATAGAAAAATGAAGGAAATAGAAGTTCAGTGAATGTATTTCTATTTTAGTACACTCGTAATGTCTCACGACCCAAAACTGACCGATGTTTCCCAAATACGAAAAACCAGAAAGTGCTTCTTACCTTAACAGTTCACACAATCGTTACACTGGACACGGAGCAGAAACAAATTACACAAAGGCAACACCCCCTCAATATTTTATACATGAACCAATCAAAGCAGACATTGAATTACACCCCCTCAATATTATACATGAATCAATCCAACATGGAATTATCAAACCAGACATCTCCACCAAACACGTATAAGGACCTCATGTCCTCTTGAAAACACCGATTTAAAGAAAAATAGTAACAATACAAGCCTACAAGGACCCAAGGACAAAAAAAAAAAAAAAAAAAAAAAAAAAAAAAAAAAAAAAAATAGAGCCTCACAAGAATGCTCCTAGTACTGACCCTTCTGTCAACTCCATATAGTGACCACATCTTTTCAGACAACCAAAACATTTTGCAGCACATCTGAGTAGAGAAATCTGCAGATCAAACTTTCTCGAGCATGCAAAGGATGCCGACAGCTCAAAGGTCTCTGAGAAGATTTGTAGCTCTCTTTGGGGGAAAATCCATATATGGGGGCAACATGTTATGTACAAATCACTGGAAATTTCCAGGTGTTAGCAAGAAGCTGGGAGAAGTATTTAGATAAACAATCTGTGGAGCATTAGATTAAATCCAAGCAACAGAACCTCGGTCATTAGGTACTTGAGGACGACCTCTCGTTGGTGTAGGCGGTCTGTTGGCATTCAATTCCTGAGAAAGAGAGAGAGAGAGAGAATTAGTAAGACAATAAAGATATTGCTCAACTATATACCCCGAAAAGGAGTTTACCCCCCTCCCCTCTTAAATAATAAATATCACCATGGGATGTTACACTCGTCCTGTTGAGATTTGTAAAAATTCAAGACTATCAATCAATGGTTGCAACAGCTTTTTTGTTCTTTTTGGAAATTTGTAAATTCAACCATCTAATTATTAATCCATCCCCCCTATAATAAAAATTTTGAAGGCCAGCAATCAAACTAGAAATGAAAGATTGGAAATAAAAGCAGCACCTGCATCCATGTATCCTCTATATGATGTTCGGGAGATGTATCCGGAGACGTAAGTGCAGGCGGTAAAGGATGAATTAGCTTTGGTACAACCACTAAATCTCTACCCAGAACCAAGATAGCACCAGCATTATTTGCAGTACCTGCAGATTTTTCTTATTTTTTATTTCTTTAAAGACGAATACTTGAACAATGAGGCAGCAAGCAATTTAAATGTTCATGACCAGCCATTACTCATTAGGGCATACCACAGTAGTTTGTGGCAGAAAAGAGAGTAATTAGATGACCCTGTGCAAATCTTTCAAATCCATCCATCACACACTCATGCGCTCGAACAATCAATTGAAGATCATTGTTATTACAGAATTCCATTACACGATCAGGCTGCAAAACGAATTAAGTTTCATAAAACATAATCCCATAACTGAGCTCAGCTGAATGATATGTGTATATAAACGTCAGGTGTAATACCATAAACATGAGAAAAGAAAAGCTGGATAATGAGAGTAGTTTTGCCATAATCACCACTTTCCAAAGTTAATAAAAAAAATGTAACATATAATAGTGAAATCACCTAAATTATCAATTTAGATCTAATAATTATGGGGCCACTTAGTCACACACACACACACACACACAGAGAGAGAGAGAGAGAGAGAGAGAGAGAGAGAGAGACTCCACACACAAACAAAAGCAGAGCAGTTAAACTATTGGGACACTTTAGAAAGGAATTAATGTACTCACCCCAAATGTTACCAACCCAGGACCCCTTGCATTTGGCCTCAGCCCTTCCACGCTGTCGTTTTCGGTGGGATCGGACCTACAACAAATATCATCCATTTCAAGATACAAATAACAAACTTAAGATAATTATAAAAATATCCGATGTCACACACTAACCACAATAAGTCCATAAGAACAATCGATCCTGCTTCCATTGCAATCGGACGCTGGATATTCTCGATCTGCTCCACATGGTTAATTGATCTCCCTATACCACCGTGCATACAAATAATTTTTTTCTCAATTAATGCAGCCAGAGGAAGCCAGTTGAACAATCTGTTGATCCGGTGCCATGTCCATATTCCATCTCTCTCACCCTGTTCAGGAAATATCAGGTCTGAATTTTCCAAAATGCATTTCATCAAATCACGAAGCGCTAGAACTTTTGGTAAAATTACCATGCGCTCAATGCATTCAATTCGGAAGCCAAAAAGAGCATTGATATCTGCAGCTTCATGATTACCACGAATTAGATGTATTTGATGGGGATGCTCAACCTACTCATTTATGAATCAGCATAAACATAGTTAGTCTATGTCAATTAAAAAGAATTATACGAGATTGCACCATTCATGATTTGACAAATGGTCCAATACCTTTAAAGCTAAAAGAAGAGTTATGGTTTCCAAGCTGTGTTGTCCACGGTCGACATAATCTCCCAAGAAAAGATAATCAATATACCTGATAGACATATGTTTACATTTCGTGTAAGATGAAAGCTATTATTTCAGAGTTAAAACTCAAAAGATGCACAAGCTCAATTATTAGCAGTTCCCCTTTACATTCTACAGGTCTCTTTTTCTTTCTTCTGGCGTGCATGCGTGTGTGATTGTGTATTTCTGTCTAGGCTGCCTTTGTTACATGCATCAATGCAAAAATATTGCTATGTGCATTTATTCAACAGACCAACCTCTTTGAAATAAGAAATGAACTTTTCACAAGCTAATAATGGTAATACGTTATTATATAATAAAATCCATGAGAAGCAACATTGTCAACATCAGTTAACACAACAAAACTTTACTGCGGGAATAACAAGACAATGAAACAATATCTTGATAGCCATGAATTCAAACAAGATTTCAAATAAACATAGTATAAGTAGTGTCTGAAACATACGCAATGTCTCCAGCTGTAGAAGGTGATCCATACTCATCAAAAAGCCGCATAAGGTCACCAAATTGCCCATGCAAGTCACCAAATATCTTAATAGGAGCCTTAAGTTGTAGTACGCTGGGTTCACTTGCTAATATCCTCTCAGCACTATCACAAAGATCTGCAATCTCGTTGCAGTCCAAGAAAAATTGTCTTCTAACTGGAGGCTTCCAACCACGAGGTTTTAATAGATGAGCAATCACCTGGGAGACCACCGAAAAGCAGCAAAAGGGTATAATTTCAACAAGTTTCTAGTAATGTAAATAAAACAAATAGGACAAACATCACAATTTCTGATTCTACTACTTCCATACAGTCATATAAGCTGCTGAAAGAATTTATAAGAAAACAATCAGAAAATGAAAGCATATTTGTTCGACTTATCTTTGACTATTTCAAGTTTTTAAAGAAACAAGAATCCTCTGATGCTTCCATAAAGAACTTGATGGCACGGAGCAATTTGAAGATGAAAGGAAAGAAGAATCAAACGACACCGCGCCTTAGCAAGAGTTCAATTCACAAGTCATCACTTAACATAAATGTGACTGTTGACCCAGATAACACATTAGAGTATACTTTAGTCTTCCCGGGGAAATACCTTCTTCGGGACACTGTTGATAGACATCTGCCGATCTAAAAGTTTCCTAGCAGCCGTTGCACTTTCCGGAGTTCCATAACTGACGCGCCTGCCTTCATTTTCAAACTGATCAATTGAAAGTTGTCTGACCATACCACCTAAAGCACCACCAGTCTCTGCTGCCACAACCACCTGCAAACACACAACAGAGAACAAAACCAATTTAACAACCCAAGTCATATGAAAAATTAATGCATATCAATATCATAGTACTCACAGCACGATGATGGAGCCTAACTCCAGCAGGGGCCGAATTACTCGACATAGCAGAATCCGGTTTGATCAAAGTTGATATCTGTTTCCCACTAGGTGTCGCCTCTGCCCCACGATCTCTATCAGGAAGCTCAACTTCTCCATTAACCTGCCGGGCTTTAGCAGCCGCCAAAGCAGCGGTAATAGCCTCAGCTTCTGCCGCAGCAGCCTCAACTAAGTACTCAACACCTTTGCTCGATCTTCTGTACATATTTGTCACAGCACGTCTCAAGAAAATTAGAAAACACAAAACAACCAGCACAGACAAAAATAAAACAATTTATACACACAAAAAGCAGTGAATTTACCTTGAACCTTGAAGCGTTGCGTTTTCTGTACTAATATCTGTATAAATATCACCATTTACAGGGGGAGCCACAGGGTTTCCTACCACAACAGCACCATCAGCAGTATTTTCCAGCACATTTGTCCCATTTCTTTCGTCAGTGAAGCCGTATCTACCTTGTAACCTTCCTTGCTGCACATTAGAAGCAGCGGCTGCTGCAGCTGCATGAGAAGCTGCACTAGTTGTCTCAGCCGCTGCCAGGTCCTCAGCTACTAGCAAGTCATCCAAAAGCACCCCTACGACAGTAAACAGTCCTACTGTTAAGGTACGGAATGGTTAAGGGACAAATCACATATGGAACTTGTAGAGCACCATGCAACAGAAAGTCTAGATCAAAAGTGAAACATTGGTATGCACATTTGCAACTAAGAATAGCCTCATAAAGGAATAGGGGCATTTGTTGGTATACCGTAGAAGAAGGCCAAATATTTCAAACTCTAGAAGATGGATTAGTGTAACTGAATATTCAAGAGTAATTTTAACCATCTCAGCCTGTCACCAGTACAAGGCAAACACTAACCCTACTGCCACGGCAAACTCACACTACTATTGACATTCCAGATCTTCAATTTCCACAAAACATATCCAAATCAAGTTTCAGCTTGTAATATTTCTTAAATAAAGATTCAATACCATCAACTTTACACAAAAACTATTTCATCATAACAGAAGAACTACTCTTATATACAATCCTTCCTTAACACAATACCAATGATAGACCAATAACACAATATTAACAGATAATTAATGTTAATACAAATATAAAAACAAGAATAGCAACTAAATCAATAACAAAGGTCTCACAAGTGGCTATTAACTGCCCACTTACAGTTGCAAAATCCAAGTGTAAATTTCTAATTGAAGTAGAGGTAACATGTCTCACCACCACGTAAACCACCATAGATGAAGATCAAATCGCCAACAGCAGCTGCAGCATGCCTACAGCGTCTCGTCAATTCAACTGCTGCATCCCCACCGGCAGCATCTGCACTGTATCTTCCAGTCCTTGGACTCGTAACAACAGACTTTGTGTCACACCAGACCCCAGCAGCCGTATCCAAAACTAACCAGATAATGAAAGGGGAAATACTTGTTCAAGAAGATGACCAAATGGAGTAACTTTTT